TAAGTAAAGGAAGTTAAAACTGAGTTCCAGACTCCTATATCAAAGTTAAAACCTTCAAATTTTTAGGTTTCTTTTTTATTTAAACGAATGTTCACTAACGTTTTACTGATCGAAATCATTTATTTCGTCAATAAAACCTTTCAGCAACAATTCGGCAAATCAATCTATGATTCGTCATACATTCGGCTAATTACAAAAATTAGAAAAAAATTGGCATAAATCAACTGGTTGATTTTTGGTTGATTTTTAGTTGAGTTGTAACATAAAAAAAACCATAAATCAACTAATATTTTTTTTATTGATTTTTATTAATAATAAACAATTAACTTAAAAACTTTTTTGACAATTTTTAAACGATTTTTTAATTAATTAATATCAATAATGGCAAAATTTTAGCAGATTAGTAACATATAATGTACTAAGCTGCAGCTACAGTAATTAGTTGATCTATTACTGAATTTAGACTATTAATAATAGTTTAAACTATTTCAAAAAAAAAATCTTTTTTTCTCAAAATAGTTTTTTTGTTTAATTGGTTCTGACGTGGATACTGATATTTCAGATAAAGTTTCAAAAAAAAATTCTGAAACTTTCTTTAATAAAACGTTTTTAATACTAAAAAATGTTTTTTTTTTAACATTTTTTATATAGGAAATCGGTTTCAGCATGGATACCGATATTCCAGGTAAAGTTTCAAAAAAATTTCAAAACTATCTTAAAAAAAACGTTTTTTACTAAAAAATGTCTTTTTAATAATATTTTTTGTTTAGGGAATTAGTTCTGGCATGAATACCATTTCTTAGAGTTCCAAATGTGTCAGGTCAAGTCAGATTAATTGATAAACCTGACCTGAAATTTTTTTTCAGGTCAGGTCAGGTCAGGTTATATCAGGTTGTCTGTTTGACCTGATCTGACCTGAAACCTGAAAAATTTCAGGACTATTTTTATTAAAGTATTGAAAAAAAATGGTACAAAACTTTTTTTTTTTTAATATAATATTATGAAAAAAACGTTTTTACAACGTTTTTTATTAAAATATTGAAAAAAATATTGCAAAATGTTTTTTTTAATATAATATTATGAAAAAAATATTTTCGTAACGTTATTATTGAAATATCAAAAAAAACGTTATGAACCATTTTTTTAATATAATATTATGAAAAAACGTTTTCGCAACGTTTTTTCTCGAAATATTGCGATTCAACATTTTTATATTTAAATCATATAAAAAAGTGAATCCCAATACTGCAATTCACTTTTTTTATATAGAATTAATATAAAAAAAGTGAGTTGTGGTATTGTGATTCACTTTTTTATATTGATTTTATATAATAAAAGTGAGTCGCAATACCACAACTCACTTTTTTTATATAGAATCTATATAAAAAAATGAATCGCAATACTGCAACTCACTTTTATTATATAAAATTAATATAAAAAAGTGAATCGCAATACTGCAACTCACTTTTATTATATAGTAGAATCAATAGTTTCAGGTCAACAGGTCAATCAGGTTAGGTTAATCTTCATACCTGGCCTGAATTTTTTTTAAAAATCTCATACCTGACCTGAATTTCAGGTCAGGTCAGGTCAGGTTACCTGAATTTGGCTGACCTATTTGGAGCTCTACTGTTTCCCTAGGTAAAGTTTTGAAAAGTTTTGAAACTTTCTTAAAAAAAAAACGTTTTATAACTAAAAAACGTTTTTTTAAATATTTTTTGTTTAGGAAATTAGTTTCAGCATGGATACTATTTCTCTAGGTAAAGTTTCGAAAAATTTACTTTCTTAAAAAAATGTTTTTTTAACTAAAAAACGTTTCTTTTTTATTTTTTTTTACAAAAATCAGTTCCAGCGTGGATACCGATATTCTAAGTAAGTTTCAAAACTCTTTCGAAACTTTCTTTTAAAAAAATGTTTTTAACGTAAAAAACATTTTTTTTTTATTTTTTTTTGCAGAAAATCAGCTCCGGCATAGATACCGATGTTTCAGATAAATTTCAAAAAAAAAATTTGAAACTTTATAAAAAAAAATGTTTTTTAATATTAAAACATTTTTTTTCATTTTTGTATAGGAAATCAACTCAAACGTGGACGCAAATATTTCAGGTAAATTTTAAAATTAAAGTTTCAAAATTTTTTAATAAAATGTTTTTAATGAAACATTTTTTTATCTTTAATTATAGGAATATTAGTTCTGACGTGGATAGTGAAATTCTCTAGTTTTTTCAGCAACTTTACTTTTTTAAAGTTTAAAATATATTCAAAAATCTAGTTATAAAAAAAATGTTTAGTAATTAATTTTTTAAAGAAACTAATTTAAAGTAATATTTTTAACTGCTAAAATAACTATTAATATTACTTTAAAAATTAATAGTAATAATAAATTAATTTAATTATTAAAAGATTTTATTTTATTTAAAAAAAATTGTAATAATCATAATAGTAATATAAAAAATAATGAGAATAATAAAATAATAATGAAATTATTCCCTAAGGATACTTGCCAAAACTATTTTTTCAAAATTTTAGTTTAGTTAAAATTTAATCTAAAACTATTTTTTATAATAAATTTAATTGCCAAAACTGTTTTTATATTTTTTCAAACTAATTATAATTTAGAAAAATTTTGAATTTACCAATTTTTTTATTAAAAATAAAGTTTTTGAGTTTCAGATTTTTGAATTTTATCATTAAATAAGTTTTAAGCAGCAATATTATTCCTTACAATAATATTTAATTAATAAAATTACAGACTTTCACTCATATTATTAAAATTCAAGATGCTCTATATAAAAAAGTATCAAAAATGCTATAGAAATATCAAATAATAAAAGAGTGATATATAAAATTACAAGTGAAGTAAAACTTTAAATATTTCTTATATAACTTATATGATTTAGAATTTATATAAAACTTATATGTTACTTTTAATCAGAATTGCATATTTAATTTTTTTGTCTTGATGATAAATCTAATAGTAATAAATTATATTTTTAGTATTAATATTAACTGAATTAATACTAAAAATGCATTTTATTATACATTACCTCTGAATTATTTGAAAAATATTCAGAATTTTAGTAAAATTAATAATAATATATAAAATATTAATGAAATATTAAGATAATAGTACAAATGTTTATTATATAAAAAAGTTATTATTAAAAAAAATGTTTAAAACAATGTTGATTAATGTACAGTATATATATTAATATAATTAAAATCAGTAATAGTGGTAATTTTATAGAGTATTAGAATATTTCACTAAAAGCCATTTTGCTAAAAAATAATATCTAGCCTGAATTATTTATAATTCTGCATAATGTTAGTCCTATTTGTCAGTGAAATATTCTTTCAGCAAAATGGCTTTTGGCAAAATGTACTATAATTATTTTATTTATAGATCTTTTACTATATAGATATTATATAACTGCAGTAATATATAAAAAATAAGGCAAATATAAAGTTTTATCAATTTAAATGTAATTTTATTTATTTATAATAAAATTTCAAATATAATATAATAAATATACATTTAATTAAATAAATTGCATTTATTATAAAGTTTTATATAATATTAAAATATTAAAATTATAATAAATTAGGTAACAAAAACTATTATAATATCTGAAACACTTATTTAAATATATTAAATCAAAATGTAATATTTATGTAATATTAATTTTACATATAACATTAATTCTGTAAATTTGTAGATAATTTTATTTTTTTTTGCAAAAAAATTAACAATCTTTTAAGAAAAAAGCTTAATTTATTACTTTTATTACTAAAATTTTAATGAAAAATATTAATCACATGTTAGACATATCACTAAAAATTCTGATTATATAATAATTAATACATAATCAATAATATATCTTATTAGTTAATCATATATGCAAATAGACACTTACATTACAATATATTTAATTAAAGATATTTTCAGTTACGTTTCAGATAATTTTAAAAAAATATGGTAAAATTTACCACAAATTAGCATTAAAAACATATTTTAATAATATAAATTTTATTAAAATTTAACTATTAGATTAGAAGTGATTTATAATTTTGCATTTTATAAATTTTATTTGCAAAATTATAGATTTATATATGCAAATCATTTTCAAATTTATAGTAATCTAATAATTTTAATAATTTCAATATTAATTATATGACTATTAAACTTATTAATGAAAATTATTATTACAAATTTATATATTGATTATTTAGTTAACTATATAATTATATATATGCAATACTTTTTTAATATAAAATTTTAATATAACTATATAAAATAAATTTTATATGAAAATTTGAAATATTTAAAATTTATAAATGATTGTGATTATAAGTGAAATAATTATAAAAAAAGTTGACTATATAATAAATAAGTTGATTTGTAAATTAATAAAAATATAAATTTTCATTTAAATTATTAAAATTTGAAATATACTGTATTTTAAATCATTATCTTTACTTTTTATATTACAACCAATTATTTTTTAAATATTTGTTTTGGATACTTAAATATGTTTATTACTATTTTTTATTAACTGAAATTAAAAGAGAATTGTATTTAATTGCATATTTATAATTATATTAATTATTGATAATTTTGCCATATTAGAAATGTGGTATAAATTGAGTATAACTAATATATTAAGATATAACAAGTATTTAAAATAATATTTCTTTTTTAAATTTTATGGCCATTTAAAAATAGGGTTTAAGACTTAATGCAACTAGTATGCTTGAGCTGTATTTTATATAAATATATAATAAAAGTTAATATGATGGTAAATAGTCAAAAATTTAACCAATAAAATTTTTGGCAGGATATAGTTGGCTTTCTATTTCAACGTTAATATTTTTACTTTTATAATTATTTCATATACACTGCAAGTCACTTTTTAGGATAAATATACTCATGAAATTAATAATAGTAATAATAATACTTTTATGATATTAGATGAATGTTTTTACTTGTAAATTGTAATGGCAAAACCTCGATTTATTTTATTATATTAAAATAATTACAATCAGTCTATTTGAAATTTTTTATGACGTTTGAACGGTGAATAAATTTATTGATTGTAATAGTTAAATAAAAGTTTAGTGTTCATTATAAATTCGCGATTTCATTATTTTGATTAACAATGTTAAAAAGAAAAGGATATTTCTTCTGATTAACATAAAAATAATTAATTAAAAAAAATCTAATTTTTATATTATTAAGATATTAAAGGTTGTAATTGAAAAAAAATTAAACATCACTATATATAAAGATTTCGGACTACAATGGAGTAAAAAAGCCTTATAATTTCGAACTAAATTGTTGCCAATTTAAAATTGTGACATTGCGACAGCAACACTCAAAAGACTCAATACAACATCAAATCCTGGGAAAATTGAAGATGCTGAGCCCGTTGATACTGCAGCTGGTGTTGATGATGAATTTCTGTAAAAAAAAAAAATAGATAAATATATCATTAAATACATTATTTAAATTAAAATGAAAATTAATATATATGTAAATACCCTGTAGGTGTGGAAGGTGTGGAAGGTGAGCCACCAGTTGCTGAAGGAGCGGGAGCTGGAGCTCCTTTAGCAGGAGGAGCGGAAGGAGCGGCTGTTTTACCATCACCGGGAGCGGGAGCTGGAGCTGGAGCTCCTTTAGCGGGAGGAGCGGGAGCTGGAGCTGGAGCGGGAGCTGTTTTTCCATCGCCACCAGGGGCGGGAGCGGGAGCTGCTCCACCGGCGGGTGCTTTAACAACAACTTCACCACTTTGTTTGAGACCGGAACCATCATTAAGTCCAAGAGTATAAGTTCCAGGAGGTACTTGAACATTCCACAAATAAGTTTTGGGTGCAAGTGGTACTGCTGGATCAATTGATAAAACATTTTTGGTGGCCGAATCTGTAGCAGATAAGTCCCCAGTAGCGGTACCTGCATCAGCACCAGGGAGAAGGGCCCATGTAACTGCTACTTTTGCACCTTGAGTGACAGGTCCAATGGGTGTATTAAGTGTATCAACAATCTCTAAAATTAAGAGAAAATATATTTAATGAATTAGAAAAAAACGTTTATGGTGTACATATAATCCGATAAGTATTATCGACAAATGTTTAAACAATCACATTTTTTAAAGAAAATTTATACTTACGGGCTGACGCATATGAAATGACGGAAAGAATAATTGTTGCTAATATTAAAAGACGAGTCATTTTTGTTGTATTATTTATTTTATAGTATTAATGATATGATAATATGTGCCTTTTTATTAAAGGGAAAAGAAAAAAAAAAGAGGAAATTAATGTAAAGATAAAATAAAATTAGAGGATTCAAGGTCGTATTAAACTTATTTATATAATCACAAAAAATTGTCGATTGTTGTTTTAATTCATTTGGTGTTATATTTGAATTAACATTGCATCAGTTGTGTATTTTATTTTATTTGGCTGATTATTTATTATATTAGTTACCTTTTTTATACTGTGAAATTTTTAGATAAGCCGTGAAAATAAAAATTAGTAATTATAATTTTATGTGAATAGAAAAAAATTCTAAAAAAAAAAGCGAAAATTTTTCGATTAAAAAAAAAAAAGAAAAGAAAAAAATGCAGGAATGTAGGTGGAATTTATAGAAAAATTTATTTTGAACTTAACCATTTTTAAATTATATAAATACTTTTAATCCTCAAAATAATACAGTTTAAAAAAAGCAAATAATGGATGATCATTATTATTTAGTATACATTAAGACTGAAGTCATGATTTCTAATATGAGCTACTTGAAATTGTAACGTTTACGTATTTTACGCATGTGGAGTCAAAAAAAAGTTTAATATTAGACTTCAACAGGTTTAAAAGTTTACTATAAAAAAAAAACCTGCTGCAGTAAAAAGCTAAATGCCAAGAAGTTCATAGAATTTTAACTTTCAGTTACACCTTTTAAAAGCCTTCCCCCAGATAAGTATAGTTTCCATGAATTTTCTAAAATTGGTAAAAGATCAAAAGATCAAAAAAGAATATGGTGTCACCGTACTCCTCCTTTTTTTAATGTTACAGTATTTATATTATAAAGATAAAAAGCAAAAGCAAATAATATTTCTTCAAGAAAGAAAAATCAAAAGTTCGGCCAAAAATTTCCATTTTTAGAAATCATGTTCCTGTTTTTCATTATTAAATTGGTGAAGAATAAGAAACACATTTCTTTTCGTTACGCAAAGCAAAGGAATAAATATTTGATAATTTATGCATTACAACATTTCATTTCAAGGGATTTTTATTTATATGAATAAGGTTACAACGGTTACAATTAATATAAAAATATTCCATATGATTATTAATCTTTGTCTTCGGAACGGATAATATGCTTTTTTGATCAGTTATTTATTTTTAAATGATAATTGAATTTCAAATTTCTTATTTTGCATATGAAAGAATTAAAGTTATATTTTGCGCATGCGAGATATAATAAATAATATTTTATTGTATGGCAAGAGAACCATATGATTTTTTCTATGATATTCGTATAATCGTATTTCATAGATTATGAAAAACAATTAAAAAAAAATACCAAATAAAGTTCATAAATATGTTTATATTTCTTTTATTAAAAAAGGAAAAGGGGGGTGGAATTATCATAATTTTAATCTTTCATATTATTTGTAGATATTATAGCGATAAATTGTGTAAAAGAGATACTAAAAGGCTTATTTGGTAATGAACACCATAATTTCATCGAGATTAGTCTTACTAATTAATGATACTTTGCACAATTCGCACAACATTTTCATTAATGTTATACTACATCGTTAATCATCATCAGTAGATCGTCATTCATTATGAAATGAACTTTATATTCGTTGCATTATCCCTTACTTTTAGAAAACTACAGAGCAAAGGGACAATCAATGCTTATAGTAAGAGCTCCGAATATTTCGGTAGTTAATCTAATCCGATCGTCCGAATAGGAGTAATTCCTAAATACGAAATATACTGTAGTAAGTAAAAAAATCTCTATTTTATTGTCTAATCCTAGTAATTTCTATTCTACGATCACATGCCTACATCATTAAAAGATATAAGATATTAGTAATTATGTATATACAGTATAATATAAAAAAAAAAATATTTCCATTAGTGATTGAAAAATTTAATGGACCTGCCACTAAGAATCCAGAAATTGTTTTCCATAATCATTTTATCTGTATATACAAAAGCTAGGAAACCTTCTTCTGCATAATGTAAATAAAATTCTAATAAATATTTAAATCTCACTGTTAAATTGAATTCTTTTTTAATATCTTTTGTTGCTAGTATAAAAATTAAATTTAAAGTTATTCAGTTCAATACTATAAACTATATTTATATAATTGTTAATAAGACAAATTTTATAGATCTTACTCCAATTATTATAAATTCAGAATTCTTTTCAAAAAGTAGAACTGTAGAAGTAAAATATTATTATTAACATTATATTCTAATATAGTAATAAGCTAAAATTATTTTAACTGATCTAAAAATATATTAAATAATATTTTTATTTAATTTATAAATTATTTATCCTATTTAGAGATTTAGAGTTCCGAATAAATCAGGTCAGGTCAGGTTAATTGATAAACCTGACCTGAAATTTTTTTACAGGTCAGGTTATATCAGATTACCTGTTTAACATGACCTGAATTGAAACCTGAAAATTTTCAGAATTTTTATTAAAATATCAAAAAAAAATAGTGCAAAACATTTTTTTTTCGAAATATTGCGATTCACTTTTTTATATTAAAATCATATAAAAGGTGAATCGCAATACCGCAACTCACTTTTTTTTATAGAATCAACATAAAAAGTGAATTGCGGTATTGGAATTCACTTTTTATATATAGAATTAATATAAAAAAGTGAATTCCAATACCGCAATTCACTTTATATATATAGAATCAATATAAAAAAGTGAATCCCAATACCGCAACTCACCTTTGTTATATAAAATCAATGTAAAAAGTGAATCCCAATACCGCAACTCATTTTTATTATATAGAATCAGTAGTTTCAGGTCAACAGGTCATTCAGGTCATATTGATGTTACAACCTGAACTGATGCTGAATTGCAATTGCTAAACCTGAACTGATAAATTCAGGTCAACCTGTCAGATTACCTGAATTTAGTCAACTTGTTTGGAACTCTAATCCTATCTATTCTAAATATATTTGTTTATTAATATTATTTATTGTTTAAAAATTTATTATTAGAAATAAATAATTTTAGTTAATTTATGTAATATTTTTAATTATTTATTACTTTATCTTTTATAATAATTTTTTTTTATTTTAAATTCACTGAAAGTAGTAACTTTATTAAATTATAATTTTACATAAATATAAAATAACTTCTCATCCAATTTATCAAATATATTCAAAGTACATTTTTTTATAACTGTTGTATTATTATTTAAAAATTTTGTTTTTAGTAATTTTTTTTAATTTTACTAAAACAGAATCCTAAAAAATACATATAAAGAGTATATATAAGTTTGTTTAACCATAATACAAAAGTTATAAAATTTTATTTGTATAAATTTGAAAATTCTATATAATAGCAATTATTGTTCAGAGTAAAGTGAAGGATAATATATATTTATACACTATGAAAAAAAAAATGATTACATGAATTTTTCTGTCTACCATGTGATCATTTACCCAATAAAATCACAAATTTTAGTTTTTCATTCCAAATATTATTTATATAATCAATAGTATTTTTTAATAAAAATATAAATAAATATATATAATTCTAGTGATTTTTTACTAATTAGCAATATAATGCTTAGAATTTTTTATTATTAATTATCAATATAACATCTTATTTTTTTATTGATATAATATTTTAAAATTCTAACAGTTTTTTACTACTAATTGATAGTATTTTAATTTTATATATTTTATCTTTAGTTTTATTTTAATTTTATTTAATTTTATCTTTAATTTATTTTAATTTCATTTATTTCTAATTTTAATAATAATTACAGTGACACCTCTATAAGTGCACCCTCTATAAGTGCACGCACTATATAAATTCTCTTTAAGTGCACGGTGGGCCTAGTCCCAACTTATAAGAGCTCTTAATATTTTACTCTCTATAAATGCACACCCTCTCTAAGTGCACATTCTACTATTTTTTTACTATGGTCCCAAGGAGGGTGCACTTAGAGAGGTGTCACTGTATTAATATTTGTAAATTATATAAACTATAATATAATATATAAAATTATAAATTTTTTAAATTATAATATTAAAATTATATATAAAATTATTTTTATATTGTTAATCTATTAATAATTAAAAGATTTTGAAAATACATTAGATAATTTGTTAAAAAAATAAATTTTTATTAAAATAATAAAAGGTTTTATATACAATAAAATTATACTACTGAAAATAATACTTTTTTTATATAAATTGGATACTTTAATATAAAAATTTTAAAAATCCAGTCCAGCCATACTATAAATAAATATATATATATATATATAAATTTAAATATTAACTTCTAATTTATTAATTTGTCTTTTAAGTATAAAAATAATAAAAAATAAAATAAAATAAATAAATAAATAAATTAAATAAAAGACAATTTATTTTTCACTTTAGATAAAATTCAATATTCCTTATTTTTCAAGTTATAAATTATTAAAAATATCAAAAATAGTAATTATAATCTTTTTTAAAATATTTATTTTAAAAAATAAAAATTTTTTTATTAAAAGATTACATTATTTTTTTTAAAAAAAAATGATTAGTAAATAATTGATATGATAATATTTTTATATATTAAATTTAGAAAAATGAAAAATTATAAATAAAAAATAAATTTTTATATAAAAAAAAACTTTTTTTTATTTTTTATAAAATAATAGTTTAAGCAATAGCAAAAATAATTTTAAGAATTTTTCTAACTATCACCAAGGTAATGTAAAATTATGATGATCAACCAGCATTAAAAACATATAGTGCCAGTAAAATTTGATAATTCTGGCCAATAGTAATAATCACCTCCAGTGATTTGAAGTAAAAACTAATTTTAATATATATTTTGTTAAATTAATTTTTTTTTATTATTTATTAAAAAAATATGAATAAAAAAAATAATAATAATTACAGTATATTAAATATTAAACTAGAAACTAAAATACTTATTATTAACTCTTTTTAGAATAGTTCATTTTTTTTATAATTTCATTTATATATATATTATATTAAAATATATAATATATTAATTTAATACTTTTAAAAATCTGATCAGTTCTAATGTAGTTATTAAGATGGTATTTCTTTATATAACTTGATTATAATAAAATCAATATATATAATATAGTTGTATATTTTAATAAAGAGTTTTAGTATTTTATTAATATTTCTTATAAAACCTTCACAAGTCAAAAAGTGAAAAATCAGGCATCAATCAGTCACCAATTGGATACTAATCAGATAGCTGATTGGTAACCGATTGGTGACTGATTAGCATTTTCACCAAATACCGTTATCAATCAGGCAGTTTGCTAACTTTTGATTCA